CAAACACCATCTGTCTTTTCTAGCTTTAATTCAAACTACAGTGCCTAAAAAAAGGTGAAGTTGCCCCTGTGCTGAATTAGTTGAGCACTATGGCATGAAGACACATGGGGGAATGGAAGTATAGTTCCATATTTCTTGACCTTGGCACTAGATTGAGGCGAGTGGTCAGCTTCATGCCCTGGGGGAAAGACCCCCCAGTACCTTCTGGACAGGAGGCTGGGTGGCCCCAAAAGTCAGCATGGATGTTGTGCAGAAGAGAAAAATCTTGTGCCGCTGGGAGTTGAACCCAGGCCGCCCAGCCTGTCGCTATACCAACTGAGCCATCACGACACCATACTGTACTGCCTAATAAATTTTATTTCAACTTACTAACAATTGTCGGGACCAAGAAAATGAACCCTCAAGTATGACAGTGTCTGAGCCAGGCACCTTCAAAATACTAGCCAGAAGCAAGCAGCACATGAACCAACTTACATGATACAACTGTTCCATCCATTTCCTTTTTCGCATATCTGCAACAAAACAGTTTCACAAAATGCAAATGTGCCTCTTAACTTAGCCATGTCTGCTTCATGTTACAACTGAAGAACTGCTGAAAGGATTTTTAAGAAATAAGATTCTGTTGAATTTTACTACAATCTTATAGCTACATTCCAATTTTGGTTAAAATCAGATGATAATAAGTGACACTTTACATGAAAACCTTTCTGCCCTGTTCTGCTTATGATTCACTGAATGTTTACTGGAGTGAAAAATGTTTCAACCATGAAATACATATTTTATGCATAATACTTTTTTCCTTAAATCATACAGTATTTGTAATAATTAAAAAAAAGCAAATAAATGCATCACAACAGTTATGCAATGCTTGCATTTCCTGGTTTATGCCCTGGAAGGTCTGGGCAGAGATAATATGAACTGAGCTGACCAGAGCCAGTTTGCATCCCCTTAGAGCTGCCATCTGTTGGTAATAAAATTAAATACTAGTTCAATCTAGGCATGAACTAAAGAAGTCTCTGTGATGTGGTACAGCCATTTCAACAGAGTGGCTGAGACATCTTAGAAACAAGAGAAGTTGATAAAGGACTACAACCATTTCAGTTCAAAACTTTATGAATATATAAACTGATTCGGTTAACGAACCTGAGACTGCATCAGCCATAGCTCTGACAAACATGTCACCTCAGCACACTGCTAACTACTGACAGCATATGGGAATCAGAAGAATAACTGATATTTCAGCCACTGTAACTACGTATAGTTGTATGCTTGACATGGCGAGATACACTTGTAACTCAGAAGCAGTACAACTATGAAGCACAATTCTAAGTAGCAGTGGTAATGCCTGCAGTCTAAACTAATTGAAAGACAGTAATAATACCACTATCACTGACAGATATGGCTAGTAGTCTCCTATCTAAGAAGTTACTCTTTGAAGTGTGCCACCTTCTGTGATGTGAGGCTGTGTAACCAGATATAAGTTTATTGATGTTTCAGAGGTGTACTGCCTCCATCTTCTGGGTCTAAGATTAAGCCAGGCAAGTAACCAGCAGCAGCTTATTCTGCTTGCTGCCTACACCATGCAGGTTGCTTACCTGGTAACCCTTTGACCCTGAAGACAGTGGCAGTATTCCTGTGACACAATGGACCTCTACTGGACTGCAAGATGTTAATCCCAGAGGACAGGACTCTTCATGGACACCATGGTAAGCACCTCAGTCCAACAAATTTACCTTGTCTGGCCCATCCAAACAGCATGGTCAAGATTTAAAAATGTACCACCTCATTTTTTCTTTTCATAAGAGAAATGATTTGTGAAACAGAGTTAAGTTGCTCGGAATAAATCAACAGTGGAAGAAAACAAAAAAGACGTGTAAAAAAGAAGTTTCCAAAATAAGATACCAATGCAGAGGTGGGGTGCAACATTCTGGTTTACCCCACAAGGAATCTGTGCATGAAAATTATATTGTAGCACCCTGTTGCACTTATCACTTAGTATCAACTACTGTTCTATAAAGTTTATTAAAAGCTGTTCACTTTAAAACTGAATAGCTTTTAGTAAGTTTCACAGAACATTAGTGCTGCACATTAGACTGTGAAACTAAGTAATTAGTAAGTGCAGGAATAAGTCTGAGAACCACAGACTGCACTTTATATGATGTATGGACATGCACCTGAATCTTACGAGTACATGAAATTCCTTTTCTTTGTCCGTAAAACAAAGAGCTTTTTTAAACCCATTTCAGTGGTATTTCTAAATATGCTTATTGTCTAGGTATGTGCCTGCAGCTGCAAACAGAAATATGTTTAACATTAATTCCATTCTTCAGTTGTCACCAAGTGGATATGGGTGTTGTTGATGTTTCGAAGGTAAACACTGCCCCAAACTCAGTTTAGCCCTGAGACAAAGGCATCACGTACCTCTACACTGTTGGCAACATCAGCCACATCCACTTAGTGTTACAACCCAAGAACGGCATTAACATCAATAATTAACCACCCTGAAAGTCTAAAATCTGTAAAAATAAATAAATAAATAAAATTTTTTTTTCTGTTTCTTGTGCTCTTCACACAATCCACAAATAAATTCCTTGGTGACATTTTGTGAAGGTTCAAATTCTAGAACAAAATTCAAAGTATATTGCACAAAATAAAGTATATTTTTCTTACTAAAATATGTAAGTCCATAAAGACAATACCTGAAATGTTACTGTCAGCATCTGAGAAAATATTTACCTAGAAGGACTGAAGGATTTGTCAGGGGTTAAGTATAGCAAGTTCAGCCAAGTTTGCCATTCTTTCTGCAAATAGACTTTAAAAAAAATCTACTCAGTTACAATTCATACTTCAGAGCCAGAACTTTCACTATGAAAATCAGAATTTAAAGGGGGGGGGAACTGACGTTACTGTCCAATGGAAATACAGAACTAAGAAGATTAACGCATCTCACTTGTTCACAAGGGACCAGTCTAAATCTCAGGCAGGGCACCAGTTATCCTGACTGAAGTCTTCATCATTTTCCTCAGTTTTCTGAAGCAACCAGCACCTTCAAGTAAGGTGTAATGCCTTCTCTTCCAATTCACAATACATAATTATTCCATATATAAATCATACATAACCTCTAAAGTTGATGAGACAATAGCCAATGTTTCAATTATCAACTAATAAAACCTTTTTTGTTGAAGGCCAACTTGAAGAAATTTTCAATGCCTTATGCATAATCTATGCAATTGGTTACAGAACTTAAAAAATACTGACTCTGGCATAACAAAGAAGAGAATGGAAACATTCTGATGCCCACTGCATTGCACGGTAATGGTAGATGGTTACCAACATCCTGGAGGAACCAACTTCCTCAAACGATATTTTCAACCAATACAAACATAATCTCCAAATGTGGACCCTAACAAAGAGAAACAAAAGCAAAATCCAAACAAGAGATACAATATTTCTGAAAAGTACTGAGGGGAAAAAAGAAGAAGGGATAGGTTGAGAAATGTAATTGAACAATTTAACAAGCTGCAATTCAAAATCTGTTGATACAGTTAGAAGAGAATTTATTACAATGCTTTGAAAATGTAGAAAACAATGGATAGGACAAGGATACTGAGTAGGGGACAAGGGAAAAAGAGGAATGGAACAACCCAGAACAATGTTTGAACCTGATACAGAAAAACAACTTTTATGAAGGAGAGAGGACAGAACTGGCATGAAAACAAACATGGATTATTGTAGGAAGATAAAGGAGAGTGGAGACTCCAATCATTGACTTCTATAAATGGAAATACTGGAAGGAGATACTGCCTATCTATCTGAAGATGGAAGCAGCAGGTCCCTAAGGAATGTTGGTATCTACCTACCAAACTGGGCAGTGTTACAATCAGTTACGACCAGAACACAGATCTGCACTCCTGTCAAAACTTCAACTTTCATAAAAATGGAAATAATTACCAAATTTTGGAACATACATAATTTTCTCTGCAATTCTGTGCACCTGAACAGTTTCCAAGTTCATAGAACATACTGATCTGTTACTGCAGATGTGATCCCACTCTGCAGAGCAAAGTGCCATAAAGATTACACTTATAAATTATTTTCTTTGTATTTTGTTCAATATTTATCTAACTGAAAAAGTTTCAAATTAAAGCTACAGAACTTAATGAGATCTATATTTCATGTAATACACTAATTTTTGTATAATATTATTTTTAAGAAAAATGATATACAGTGGTGTGATCTGAGCTTGAGTATTCCCTCAGTATGAAACAAAATTAAATTTTCCAGACAATTTTAACATAGGCCCCTAACATAAATTTACAAAAATCCATCTGACAGTTTCTGAGATGAGAAAAGCATAAATACGCCCCTAGGAAATATGAATTCAATTTATGGGCTCTGTGCAAGAAAAAGGGAGGGGGGTCCACATGCTGGCTCAAGTAACACATCTCGCCTGTAGATCACAAAGAATGTTTAAAATTTGTCATTTTTTTTAAATGGATCAATGAAGGTCAAAATGAAATCACACTGATTCTACAAATGATGCCATTTGGCACACCTAGTGTGCAGGGAACTAGCACAATTGCAGAATCTGGGGACAAGAAAATCCTGTGCACAGCATATCCACAATGGCACTAAGGTAAACATTTGGTGTGGCAGTCATTCAGTCATTCTTCTCAAAGAAAACAAAAGAACAATGTAATTTGTTTCCTTGATAGAAAAGAAACACATTTTCCTTTTCAGGCAAAATGGTACACCAGGCATAACAAATACTGAGAATGTTCAGTTTTCTCCTGGTCTCTGGATATGGACAGGGCGACTAATTTTAAGGCCACTTTCTCCCTTTGCAACTATGACTCTGAAATGCATGATCACACAAAAGATCTGCATGANCTGCGTTACCGTGTCTCACGGTGTTGTCGCTTGCAGATTTACCTATACTTTTTCTTCAACCCTGAAGATGGGGGCGATACGTTCCTCCGAAACGTCGGTTAACACCACATATACACGGCGCCAAAGCCCAGAAGACTGCTTTCTTCATAGTCACCGCCGTGAAAGCCTCAAATCTTATATATCAAATTCTACCTACTACTACTAAAATCTTGAAGATTACAGCATTCTGGGATATAAAGACAAACCTGTTGTCTCTATCTTCAGGGTCTTCTCCAGACTACATGGAGCCTCACAACAGAAGACTGTAATTTTAATATTCACTGCCATGAAAACCTCATATCTCAAAACGTATTTTTATATCTGCTATGCTTTGTGTAATCTATGACAAAAAAATATTTGCTCTAAAAACAATGGACACATGCCCTGGACACTCTATATAACCAAATTAAGTGTCACATATTGTTCACATGAAAACTATTTCTCAAAACAATATGGCCAAACTATATATAAATGAAAATGCTGTATAACAACTTACTAAAAATCAAAACTATAGAGCATTATCAAATTGCCAATCAGAAAAAGAGATTCTGTATTTTCAATATGGCCTATGGAAATTCTGCATTCCTTCCTGTATGAAATGCAGGTTCCTTCCTCTCTCACCTTGGCCCTCATGGATCTGCGGTTTGAAATAACCAGTCTGTTTCTCCGATTAGCAAGTGAATAAAAATGTATAAAGAGACAGCAGATAAACCAAAAATTGTTACTCAGGTCTACTGATTTCACTGCAAACACCTTAACACCTGTTTACAGAGGACATGCTCTGGTGGCGAGCAACATTCCTCATTTCGGTGAACCTAGAATAGGGGAAATGGAAGATACAGCTCGACATGAGCATTAACTCATAACTAACTTTCCTCAACAAAGATTCCCACTAAAACCAAAAGTCTCCAATAAAAGGATGGTTCCATGGTGGGGGAATTATATTTCCTTAACACAGAACCCTCTTCTGGGATGTGATTCTGTAACATCTCACAGAAGTTCAATTAAATTTTGGAGGAATGTTTTGCCTCCATCTTCAGGGTAAAAGAATAAGCAAAGTAAGTAATCTACAAGTAAATCTGCTAGTTTCTTGCTAGCTTGCTTACTTGACTCTGGAGATGCACACAGTATGTTTCCCTGAAACACTGGTGAGCCTCTAGCAGACTACTTGGCATAAGAAGACTGTACTCATCCTAGTCACTGACATGAGAACCTCAAATCCAGCAAACACCACCTTCTTTGTCTGGGAGTAGCATATAGAGCCAGATTTTAATTTACAGTAATAGCATTTGTGCTGAACACATGTGATGTCAGGTATGCTGGAACCCAAGGGGTCAGCAAAGGTAAATCTGTACCCCAGACAGAAAACCTGAAATACATTTAGTCCACCATGCTAACACTCAGAACATAACATCACAAGTTTCCTCCATAATCTTATGTTCATAATTACAAAATTTTGACCTTTTATGGGAGACTACACTGCAGTAAGCACTGAGTTTTCCTAAAAGACTAAAATCATAATGATATTCATGTTCACAGATCCTATCCCAGTCAAACAGCATATAAGCTATATGATAAATAATAAGAAACCATAATATGTACTTAATACAGTATGTGATTAATCACAACTGGATATGATTCAGCATGTGTGTAGGTCACAGCAGGTCTAGCAACACACTGCTGACAACATAAATGCCATTACAACCAAATTAAAACCTGGCCACCAGTGCCACAATAGCAGACTTAAATCCCGATTTTCCTGTATGATAAAGGTTAACAAGACACACATATGATTCCAGTATATACAGCTTGTTTTAGTAATAAACCAATTAAATAAATACTTCTTAAGTGGATGAGCCTTAAGAGCATACTCACATGTAACAACAGTCCATCTTGGTCCCTTAAAAATATTACCATAATTTCAGCTTATACATTTTTATTCACTCTGCTTAATTTCCAATCTTCTTTCTTTTTTTTCTTTTGTACAAATTCATGTTTTGATTGCCGACAACCACGCACACATTTCTGTACTGGCCATACGTACATACACCTTTATAACCTGGCTTTTCCGCACCAAAAGTGTTGCAGAAACTAATGAACCACTCCTTAAATAATGTGCTTGTACCATCAAGGTTATAACCTGTGAAGAGCAGCCATGTTGAGCGACGAACATTTGTTTTTTCGTGTTGGTTGGACAGACATTGGAGCAACATACGACGGTTCTTCTGTAATTGGAGAACTTTCCAGTTCCTGCAAACAACAAACAAGAAATTAAAGACATGAATAAGTTGATGAAAAGGGGTCTAAAACATGTTGAAAGCTGCAAAGCTTTGTGTCATACCAGTATCACAGTACTGAATGATGCTGCATCAACTGCAGAGGTTATGTAATACACAAAATTACTGGATGATATTGTATGGGGAATTTGAACTGACAGCTAAATCCCATAAAAGTCAAAGCAGTTCTAGTCTAGCAGTCTGCTTTGACAGTCTTTGGTAAGCGGTAAGATTATATAAGAATCTGTACCTACAACTCTTCAATTCGCCATCTCAGTGTAAAATGGATAAACCTGCACTTTACAACTATGTTTCGTGGTAGCTACACTGATTTATAAATTTAACAGAAAACAGATCACACCCAGTCTTCTGTAGAGACAGTGCAGGAACTGCACTAAGCAACTGTTCTGGGCTCTGTAGAGTGTTTCATTTTACAAGACATGATAGCTTCAATGAAATGTAGAAAAGGGAGTGCTATGACAACAACTCTCTCAATGTTGATTCAACAGCAGCCATAAAAACCATCTTCTTTAGAAACACAGAAACAACAGACTACACTGGCATTCCACATCCAAAATCTACCTTTTGGGCATAAGGACTAAACAGATGAATATGTCACTAACAAACCAAGGGTCCTGTAAACAGCAGTGTACTGACAAGTAAGAATGTCCTGAAAGCAAAATAGAAACTGCAAAAAATTATGTGTAACATTATTTAATAATTGATAAACTGCTATAAAACACAACAGATGCCCATTCATATAACTCTATGATCTTAAATCTTTGTCACTAAAAGTAGGAGGGAGCGTGGCTCTATTTTGAAAGTGGCAATAAAATTGTTTCCAATGTTCCAAATTTTCAGCAGCTGCGGCTGTTGGTAATGTCAGTAAAGGCACCAAAGCAGTGCTATTTGGCCAGGAACAATTCACTTATAGAAGCCAATGGCAGAGATCCTGAGATATGGCTTGGCATGCTTTCATTACAGGATAAGCCACTGATTACTGAAATATATTACTGAGATTTAACGCTGGTAAGGAACAGAGTTACATTACTTACATTGAGATTATTGCAGCTGGCTAGTCTCATCTGTGCGAGTTGTGATGCTGGGGTGAGACTTGTTGTACTACCAAACGGACTCATCATTGTTGAAACTGCTCGTTTCAACTTGCTAGGAGTTTTATTGAAACTAAAGGCTCGCCCTACTTTCATTTTTGTCCGAGAAGCAAACCTGGAACAGATACAGCAGAAAGTTACCACTGCAAGGTCACACAACCCAACAGTTCATTTCAAAGTCACTACACACAAATTATCATTATTATGGCTCTACAGCCCTTTGTTGGGTTTGGCCGATTTTTCAGTTTCTTGATCCTATAAACAGTCTATAGGACTGCTTGGATGGGGGATCAGCCCGTCACAAGGCCTATACCTACACAGAGAACAGAATCGCAGAATAAACGCAGAACACAATACACACATCCATGCCTTGAGTGGGATCCCAGCGTTCAAACAAGTGGAAACAGTTCATGCCTTCAACCGCATGGCCACTGTGATCAGCAAGCATGAATTACATTTAACAAATTCTTGTGTGTACCATTTCATTTTACTCACATTGGTAAAATCATCACAAATCAGTGGTACAGAGCAACAGTTTACAAATTTTACTAATCCAGTCACAGATGTTCTGGAAATATGTCACTCTTGAAGACTTCCTTTAATGGCACCTGCCAAATAACATGCACCGTTTCATAAGAGAACAAGAGGAGAGCAATAAACTGCCATCTGCTGATGAGAAGGCAAAATATTGATACAAGCTATGTAAATGCTCACTTAAAAATGTCTCAGACAGTGCTGTACATGTCTGAACAGAGCAGATGCCAGGTTCAACTTTTATTAATGAATTATTGTGTGATCTATAATTACTAATTGAGAGCCTCCTTAGACTGAATGACCTCATACAGTTTCAACACCTAATCTTCTTTCCACTCCTGCGTGACGATGCCACTGACGAGTGAAAAAATCTAGCCATCTCCTCCTTCAACTTGAAGATGAAAATGGTCAGGTTCTTCAAAATGTCAGCAAACTAACCCACCATAACCTGGTGCTATCAATCAAGAATGGGCAGAAGATAGCTACAAACTTGCCTTGATGCCTGCACACTTCTATGTTCCCTGCAGTCACCCCATAAAAATGAAGGGGAAATGAGAAATTATCTCCATCACATCAACTTCTTCCAAAATACAAGTAAAATGTATAACACTGCTACTTCTGAACAAGGAGCCGAATGCAATTTACTCACTTGAATGCTTTACCGAGTGTGCCTAGTGTCACATCACTGGTATCAATGTCCAGTTGGTGTGACTCGAGCGAAGCAAGGAAGTTATCCTGTAACAAAAAAGGAAGATGTTACAGGCCTCATAACATTGCCACTGTTCACACTATGAAATGCATGAGCTATCTGCAAACTGATATGACACAATCTGCAAGGAGTAAGTAAACTAAATCCTATATTTGTCTCCATAAAATTTAAAATAAGTTATTTATGCCCTATTAGCCATTATGGATAAACTTGACAGATCTGTCATGGATAATGCCAACACACACATCCATAAATTGTATTTTATATTCCAAAGTTTCAGTTGAAAAATATGGGTGTGGTGCTATACACAAGTAGGGCATCCCAATCACAAAATGCAGCAAACATGTGACATGTGATGTATCAACTCTGCTGTGCACTTCCATTAATTTCTTCAACTATGCTGCAGACAGAAAGTAGTGAATTTAAGATCTGAAGCTTTCATGGCAGCTAAAGCTGACAGAATCTTCTTGGGCTGCCAGCCATGCCAGATGGTTGAAGATTACCAATGTTCCAGGGCTGACACAGCTGACAGACAAAGGTTTTATCAATTAGTGAACCTAAATTTTAAACAGCACACATGTTACCAGATGGAACATTTGTAATTCTTAACCACACACAATTTCTGCTACTGGGTCTGCATGCCATAGGAGTTTCACTGATGTGGAGTAAAGAGTAATAGGATTTCCACTGATATCATGTAGGAGTATCAGAATTTCAACTGGTCCGAGATAAGGAGTAACAGGAGTCATACTGATTTGAGGTAAGAATTATTAGGATTTGCACTCAACTGGGGTAAGGAGTAAAAGGATTTCCTATATCTGAGGCAGTAAGTAAAACAGACAGTAACACACTATTATAACAGTTTTAAGATTTTTTTTTTATTGCTAGTGGGGTGGGACTAAGTCCCTTGTAATGCGGCTACCTCTGGCCTATTGTACCAGCCCCATATGATACGTGAGGGTGATTGTGGAGCAATTGGTGGAATGAAGATTGGCAGGGGAAACTGAAGTACTCGGAGGAAACCTGCCCCGGGGCCCCTTTTTCCACCACAAATCCCACTTGACCAGACCCGGGATCGAACTACGGCTTCCGTGGTGGGAAGTCACCGACTAATCTCTTGAGCTATGGCGCAGCCAGTTTTAAGATAACAGTACTCACTGCATCAGCTTTGCAGAGTGTGTTTGCCATCTGACGACAGAGCATCCTAAGGAAGGCAAGTTTGTCTGTTTCTTCGTCTGCCAAAATAAAGGAGTACAACTTCTCTTTCAACTCCTGGTTACTTCGGCACATCAATGCAAACACGTTATGGCAATCTGTAGAAAGAAACACATAACCAACACTCTCAGAATAAAAAGAAAATTCTGAACACCCCCAATTTAAAAACCATATCCTTCATAACTCCATTGCATTGGATAACACATACAGCTACTACAAACTGCATATCCTTCTGCTGTAATAAATAAAACTTCTAGGAACACAGAGTAACCTGCTGCCACTATCTTCAATTCTGAACTGTGGTATTCTAGTTTATGAGTCCATATAGACTCACAGGTGTTCATGAACATTTGGAGAAACTTCCTGCATCCATCCTACATAAATCCTGAAGAAGGAAGCAGCAAGTTGCTCTGAAACACTGATAATAGCCTAAAAGGCTATACAGCTTCATACCTCACAAGATTATAATATATATGCTATTTATTACATTCAACAAAGCAATAATTCAGTTATGAAGTACAACATTCTCACTAAATTCACCATATCTATGAAACTAGTTCCTCTAATTAAACTGTGTTTAAACTGAACCTACACTAATGTATGTCTATGTAGCTAAGCATGTCTTTGATGCACTTCTTATTCAGAATGGTAACCAATGCTTTTCAATTTTGCTTTAGAAGAGTTCAAGTATATCAGTGAAGACTATTAATTCAGTGCGACACTCCTGATCTATGCCAATGATGTTCATATATTGGGTGCGTGCCCAGCCGCACACACACACACACATACAGACAGACAGAAAAGTGTGTACACGTGAGTATGTTTGTTCTCTATACACTTCCACACCACTGTAATTCAACAAAACTTGGAAAGACAGTAAAGGACCTCCCAGGAAATCCAAATTTGTTCACTTTCGGTATCCCTAAAAGTGTTCAAAAACTCCCAAAATGTCATGTAAGAGAGTGATTATAGATGGGGTTTGGTTTGGAGACTGGATTTATTGACCACTTTAACACATGACTCGTGACGACACTATATCGCCATCACTAATTTCCACACTTTAAAAACGACTACAGCACATGCTAAGCCTTCTAAGTCTGTTATAGCCTCCGCTTGTCATTCCCTGTTAATGGCTTATAATGGTGCAGATTCTTCTGGCTCTGGCCTCACTATGTTGCCTGCCGGCTCTCAACTGTACTGACTGTCTCTTCTTCACAGCCTCCCTTACAACTAACTTCTAAGCCTGTCTTGGTTATAATATCTTGATACAGACCACACAGAACACACCGTTTCCAACTGTTCCTCTATTGTTGCATGTGAACTTGCTGCCAAGGGAACCAGTTTCTTTTGCGGTCACTATCTAGCAATGGTTCTACATGCTACAATATTTTGCTTATTCCTTGAGAACCATTCATCCTAGTATACCGTTTTCTGTGTTTGACAGAGCTCAGAAAAATAAATAAACACCTTCTTACTCTATCTGTTCAATTTTCCCAAAATTAACAGCAATTCTTACACCGCAAGTTTCACTAATAATATAAGTACAACCCACTTCGATTATTAAACTGAACATATGGCAGAGAACTACAATGTTTATATTGTAATGGAATAGTTTTTTTTTTTTTACAATTCTATGACTTTTAGTTAGCATCATCGACATTATCAACATTATAACTTTTCAACGTATTTTTTTTTCTTGGCTCTACAGCCCCAGTGGGCCTACGCCTACATCCATCAACTTCTCCGTTCACTTCAGTTTTTCTAGATCTTACACATTCAGTAGGACTCCTTGGGCGGGTGATCAGCTCGTCGCAAGGCCTCTACCTGTACACAAACACAGAAAAACGCACACACACAAACTAAACATCCATGCCCTGAGTGGGATTTGAACCCACGATCGTGGTTTCCAAGCGCGCAAAGACAGTACATGCCTTAGACCGCTCGGCTACCGTGACCGGCTTTCAATGTATTAGACTCCATTAATTATGCATATGCATTACATCTGGTTAATGCCAAGCAGAGCAGATAATGAATATATAAAGACACATACACAAACTTGATTAGACACAAGTAAGGAGGCCAATCTACAAGTGAACACAGAGAGAAGCAAGCACGTCTTCAATGTTGGACGAAGTGCATAACATAAAAAGAGACAATAAGCCCTTCAGAAACATTCCAAACTTTATAAACCCAGAGTGGGAGTAATTAATCAAAACTGCAGCATGCAGATATCACGAGAGGACCATGCAGTTCAGAATCTTATGAACTCCTCACATTATACTTATGTATAGATTAAAACACAAAAACATAATTTTACACCTTATTTGGTATGGGTGTGAAACTTGGTTCCTCACGTTGAAGGAAGGATATACAACAAACCTGCTTAGCACAGTGTCCAAGAGAATATTTGAACCTAAGAGGCCAAATATAACATGAAACTGGACAGAAGTGTATAATGAGGATTTGTGTTGTTCATTAGATACTATGATGGTGACCAAATCAAGGACAAGATGGTCAAGGCATGTAGCATGCATGGGTGAGATAAGAAATGCACACAAAATTTCGGTCAGAAAAACCAGAAGAAAGACAACTATCATATGATCTAGGTGTAGGTGGAACGATATAAAATGAATTTTAATGAAACAGAGCATGAGGATGAACTGGATTAATCTGGCTGAGGATAGCATCCAGCAGTGGGATCTTGTGAACATGAAAATAAACATTAAGTTCCATAAAAGGCATGATTTTTCTTGCCTAGCTAAGAAACTATTTGCTTCTCAAGGAGGATTCAGCTCCATGGAATTATATAGGCAGTGTGACATTTACCATTTTTAAAACTCAAAACTGAAGAACACAAAAATTTTAAATTTCAATGTCATATGATCCACTATTTACATAACAACCACCTACCATCACTTTCCTTTATGTTGATGACTCGCTTGATATTAGACAAGGGTACGAGACGGATATGTTTATATGGCTTCCCATTACTCAGCTTCATAGAATGCAGGCTGCTTGTTGTGTTGGGACTTTTAAGAGAGTTGAAAACCTTTGAGCGTTTTTTGCACACCTACACATAAAACATGATACATCATCAAGTCATAGCAAATTTAGTAAAGAAATTTCATCCTATCAAACTGCTGAAAAAATTCATTACTACCCTCTTTCTTGCTAAAATGAATCAGGTATAAGAGGCAGTAATGTACCTCTTTACGTCATCTTCAAACTACATTTTCTTCTACACAAAATCACACAGAAGTGATAAGCTGGAACTGATCATACACCATTTAATATTTTAACTTATTTTCTTTTAACAACATTTCCCTATATTTAGACTAGGTCAGGAGTTTCGTGATGTTACTGATACCTTCCAGTAAATGCACATGGGCCAAGAGCTCTACGCTGTCTTCTTCTTGCCTTTTACATTCTGATTCATAAAAGCAAAAAGTCAAAAGTGTACCTCCATCATGTCCGAGAACAGGAAGAAGACTAGACTGTCCCCACGTCCACTCAGCCCATCACTCAATTCTATGACATCACAACGTACAATGAAACTACGATGCGAGGACACCAGTTGTGCCTGTAACAGCAGAGCATTCTACATCATAATACTTGAAGAAAGAACTTCAGATATCCATTTTGTACATAAATCAATGACTATTTCTTATAAATCTTTCAACCAGTAACTTTATAGCCACCAATATATATAAAAATGTAAATGCCGTTTCCTGTTTCCTACTGTGGGCATAACAGACACTTTCAGAAATTATGAAATTTACTCCATGTTTCTGCCATAAGATAAGTACAGCTGTCAAAGCAATGTGAAAATATTATAAAAGTTTTTAGCTGCATTTCAAATCCTGATTCCCAGCATTACATCAGTAAACTTATTTCTTAATGTGTGTGTCATTCCGTTTCTAAACTCTTAAGATACCATATACTGTCATATAAGAAATGGATGATTCCATATTAAATCATCACAGGCCCAACCTAAATCACCCCCTCCTGCCATCACATTTTCATCAGACTTCACGAGGTACAGCCTTTCACAGAGGTAAGTTAGCATATTTAAGACCTTAGGTGCAATTGGTTTTGATTTACTGATATCTGATGTTCTGCAAAAATATGTTTCATCATCAGAATCATTACATTTCTGTAACTCTTTCCTTGACTGAGGTAAGGAGCTCAGACTGCTTTCTTAATCAAATATCTGTAAATCCTGTATACATAGGTTTTATTACAGCCAGGTATGCCTTTTATGAACCTATCTGGTCTCTACTCACCTGATGCAGAGAAGAATCCATTTCTGAGAAGGGAGCATATTAAAAGAAAATACAAATTACTCTCCAAACCTGATAAAATGAGTTTAAATCCATTTTATAGACTGAAAGTTTCCTTTCATGTGAAGATTTTGGTAAGAAAACATAAGCTTCACTGGCATCACATTCCAAATTTGATTTTTCATCACTTTCTTTCAGAGCGCATATATGCACGCAAGGTACTTTTGAATTCATGATCTCTGTTTCATTGCGAAAGTTGTGCAGATAAAAAATCCCCAAACAAAAACATCTTTTCGGTGTTTCAATTTCTGTAATCCAATGCAGTATAGGCATGAAATGACCTTCTACACCTTCCACTGACAAAGGGCGTGTTCCATAGTTACAAAAGGTTGATACACACACCACATGTACAGAGGTTAAGACAACCTGATCCCTCTGGTGTTGTTACAAAACACAATCCACATGCAGTCAATAGGAGACTCACAGGGCAGTTGTCTATGTCATTGAAAATGTCGAACATAACAAGCTGGCCCTCGGTCTTGCGCTTGTCCTCGTTTATGTGCATCATTACTTCCCGTATGCTGCTCAGAGCCTGCTCCAGTGCACTGTAGTCCTGGTTACTCTTGTTGGTGTGCTTCAGAATGTCTGCAATTCAGATCCAAGAGCTTACATAATCTAGACATACATCAGGCATAATACAAGAGTGAAGTGAAGTGTCTTGGGCAGTGTGACAGTGTCGCTAATTTATAGTTCCAGTAAAGTTACCTTATTCTACAAAACAGATTCTTTGGCACATCAAATATTAGATAAACAATATAGAAAATGTACACACAGAGTAACACTTAAGGCATTTCTGCTAACTTCTGATTATCTTGAAAACTATGGCAAAAGCGTATGGGATATAAAAGTGTTTTACATTTCTCCACAATTTTTCTACTAGAACACTTCCATTCTGATGAATTATTCTCAAGAAAAGTGCTCAAATACGCGGAGTCTTCATGTAGTGTCTCTTACTGGTGCCTGATTTTAACCAAAACTAATATGTTGATAGATTTTGGTGAAACTTCACAACAGCAAATTCCATGAAAATAATTCTGGCAGTTCCTGAATTGTTATATACAGATTGAAACATACAGTGAAGCTAACAAACGCACTTCTCCAACTTTTCACTGTGAACAAGACAAGAACAGAACAATTTCTCTTAGCAGGTTAATTAATGACAATTTCAGTACCATGGAAGAACCTGATAGCACAAGATGAGACAGAAAGGTGGGAACACCAGCCACTCAGAACAGTTTTGCTCCCACCATTAAAAAAAACTTTGGATAATGGTGATGCACCAGGATGGACTAGAATCTCATAAAGGAGTCACTCGGGATAAGCGCACATGAGGGAGTGCTGGCATCAGTTGGAGAATGGTCACTGCAGAATGCTTGAGCCACGAACAGAAACCTCAGAAAAGTAGGAATGATGATATACTGATAGGCTACATGGGATGAACAGCCTTAAGTAGAGAGCGATGTGACAAAATAATCCACTGCTAGACAACGAATTGTCAAAATACATTTCACGGCAATGATCGTGCTTGGAGGAATCAAAGTGTTGCCGTGAATTAACACGAGATTCTGAGACAATGGATCCATAAAAAACAGTAACAGAACCCTTTGTAACCAGTCATTACCTACCGACGTAAATTTCAAAAGTTAACATTTGTTGCTTAGTACCAATTTCATACTAAATGTAACTTATGCCCAGTCTTGCATTATTCTAAGAAATCGTAATGAGCAATATGCAGATAAGAAGCTACTGGAAGGTTCTTTAATAGTCAGTATGGTATGTTGACGATTACTCATCCCACTGCCGTTCTGATAAAAGAAGCTTCCATAACATTCTGAATATAAGAACAAGAGAGAAAGCTTCAAGAATGATCTGGAAACAGAGAGTTCTGGATGTTATGTCATCTCTCAGTATTTAAATGGGTTGATCCCAGGTGACACTTATTAAACAATCAGTCGTGTAATCAGTGAGTGGACATGAGTATTCAGTAAGATACCAGGCTGGGAGACTGACATACATCTTCTATTGTGCTGTGACGTGATGCTGTAAATCTCGATGTGCGTACAAAAGTGCAACTAAATTTACAAGTAATCGCTAATTGTAACTGTGTAGTGCTGTGAATAAAGAGTACATTATTAATATTGAGAGGTGATCCAAGGACTTCTTCACCAAGAAACCCTCTTTGTCGAAGCAAGGCCCGTTAAGCCCTGGGGAGAGAATCTCATTTCTCAATCCGAAACATTATCGTCTCGCTATCTTAAGCACTTCAATGTGGTTTTCAGACCATGTAACGGCACCCAACTTCATAATCAACAAAACCCCAATAAAAGAACTCTCACAAGTGACTCCTCTTAACACAGGATAATAAAAGGACTCTCACACTTTCGAGTTAGTGACTTCTATTCAGGTGGTGTGGAAGTTTTAAAAGGCAGTGCATTCATGAATTTGAGAGAATGAGAGTAATAGAGATGAGTCCGAGATTCAGATAGCAGTGAGAGATTCTTCAGAGAGATTCATCAGACAGACATCGGTAAGAAAGAGTTCAATGTGTGTGAACTGTCACAGGTGACCATAATTCCATAGAAGTGCCAATAAACCCAATCATCAAATCCAGAACCCACTGTTATTTGTCATGCAAACCCTGCATATGTGATATTTTGGTAGGGAGACAAAGGATTTCAAAGGAAGTAGTCATGGCCCAAGTGAGATTCCATCTTGGCATTTGCCTGGAGGGTCTGAGAAAAACCACCAAACTATCAGTCAGGATGGCTGGGGTCCAGCCCGACATTTGAACCAAGCACCTCCCAAACACATATCTACAGTGTTAGCATTGGACTAATCTGTCTGATGAACCATTAAATTGAGTATCAATTGCATACAAATGTTCAATATTACTGCTAATACCTTCTCCCTATCACATACTGTATCATTACAATCACCAAAAAGGATCAAGTCATGCATTCCACCTTCATCTTCAGGGTTGAGACACCAGTTTCTTGATACAAAGCTTTGTTTGCCACCTGCTTCTTGCTGACTACATGCTTAACCCCTGAAGATGGAGGCATTACATTCCTCCAAAACACAGGTGAAATTCTAATGGGCTACACATCCCAGAAGACAGCAACTCCTCAGGAGCATCACTCTGTGTGTGTTGCTTTGAAAAATAATTGCTGAAAACTACATGTCTTTGCACATTCACTTGTCAATTACACTGTTGATATTAATGGTGAACTCTCCACCACCAAATCTTTCCTTTTTAATCATCTGGCCCTCCAAATAACACTTACCACTCAATAAGAGACTGATACTGGGAAGGCGCTGAACAGGGCGAATCAGAAGCTCCTGCAGGCTCTGTCGCCCACATTCTGGTTTTGTTTGACAGATCTTCAGAAAAGCGTGGAACCGCGGCTTTGTCTGGTCACACTTCACTAGCATCTCTTTGGTATTCTCAAAGAAATTAACAAATGGTGGATAGGCCTTTACCAAATCAGGTGCCTGCAACAGCACCACAAATCTACATAATCACCTTCAGTTTCAAGCAGAAATAAGGAGTGATGTCCGATACAGATATTCATTTATAAACAACATGCTTGTGGGTAATGTATATCATTTCCATCGTGACCCTAATCACATACCATCTGACAAAAATGTCAGAGGGTAAACTACATATATATAAGATATGGGGATATCAGATTTGAGGTTTTCATGACAGTGAAGTTTCATGTTGTAATCTTCTGGGTTATAACAATGTGATACAGCCTGCAAGACTGCCAAACTACAAAACAGTGTCACAAGAAAAGAAGGCCACAATCTGAATATATTGTAAGATATTTGTTAAATTCCAAAGCACAGGTCTTAATAAGACATATCTGAAGTTGGCTTTACCTAGCATTTATACATCAATTAACGAAGGAGGGGATAGTTATTAACATCTGTAATGGATGTGATAGGTTTCCTATGCATATCACTGGATTTTTTTTCCATTGACCGAATCCTTCCGCCTGCACCATGGCCCTGGGGTTGACTCAGCCTCTAACAAAAATGAGTACCAGGAATTACTTTAATAATTATCCTGCGGAGTAAAGCGCGGCCAGCGTGTAAGGCTGACCTTACCGCCATCTTTGAGCCGATTGTCTTGATAATGTGGGACCCTCAATGTTGTAACAACCCTATGGGCCTTCACGGCCTGTTACAGGAATAGCTTTACTTTTTTACTTTATCAGTGGGTAGCAGCAGAGTCCAGTTTCCTAACAGTCTAGGTAGCAGACGTTCATGTGCATGTTCAAAGGCTGGTTTTAGTAGTCAAAATGGCAACTGTTCTTGGGGAGTGTAATACCGAAGAACAGCATTCTGTTGTGCGTCTTTATAGGCAAATGGACTCAATACAACGGATATTCATAAAGTAATGTTCCCTGTTTATGGTGGGAAGTATTGGCTGTGTAAAGTGGGTCCAGAAACATGCAAACATTTTGCTGATGATGAAGAGGTTGAAACAGAGGTGCAGAAGTGGCGGAGACAACAGACAAAAGACTTTTATGCTGCAAGTTCTGGCACTGTGGTAAAGAGATGGGACAAGAGTATCAGTGTTGCTGGAGGACATGTCAAGAAACAAATGTTTCTTTCAGGTTCAAATATCATATATTTTATATCTATTTGTGGCCTATTTAATGATGCTACCTTGTGTGTATGCTAACATTCTGTCACACAGTAACTTACATATTTAAGGAACACCTGCCCAATGCTAAAGTCTTCCTTCCAGTGAGAAGCAGCCCAACAGAGCTCCTCCAACATCTGCTTATGGACTTCAAAGATGGGAGGAAGGTTTCCAAAGATAATCTTCAGTTCTGTGTTGTTTAGCAACTGGCCTTCTGATTCACTCAAGTCCTCCAATGGCGTTTTGAACATCTGTGAATCAAACAAATAAACTAAAATGACTCCCTAAATTAAAACAACCTGAGATACTAACACTTCTGAGCCCTATGAATACCCAGTCCACACACACGCACACAAACGAGACTCAACCGCATGTACTAAGATGTATACAGACACACATCATCAACAAACAAATAGGCAACATTAACAGAAGCACCACAATAATGACCTTTTAATATTTAACTTTTCAGTTTTAAAATATTGTGGCATATTGGCTCTATGCAGGAACTGCTGAGCCACAGAGGCCTCGGGGCATGCGCACAATGTGAGAGTTGCGGATTATATTAGTGCGCTGCTAGGTGACAACTCTGTGAACGCTTGGATTGTGCAACAGGAAGCGCGAGTGATGTCACATACCCCACTCATCCTGTAAGTATGCAACACTCAGTAAACACCCCTTCCTGTTAGGCTGTGATGTCATGCAACACGTGAGTCCGTGCAAAGGCTATTGCTAGGCAATCAGTAAACATGACATCCTGCAACAGTGGTAACTATCATGTAACTGTTTTCTGTGTTGTTAGTGCAGAAGCTACATAATGAGGAGTGTTGAACCAGAGAGTTACTAGTATTGAGTATGAGTTACAAGCACAATAGATTATTGGATTTATGTTAACAAAGACTACTACTACTACTACTACTACTACTACTACTGCAGGTCGTGGTGGAAGGACTGAGAAGGCCCACCACTTATACATTCTTTCATTCATCAGTTATGAGTATTAGAGTGTCCGTCGAAGACAGTGGAAGATGCAAGACAAAATCTTTGGTTAAAGCAGTATTTGTGAAATTGTGAATTGTGATAGTGATGAAACGTCTAGAGGACATTGTAAGTGACAATAATTGGGACACTGTAAATTGTGTAAGAGCGAGTGTGGAATAAATTCACCAAATCAAAAATGGCATGAAGTTATTTGTCGTGTGACATACCCAACACGTGACAATTTGGTGTCAGAAGTTATTTGTTGTGTCACATAGGAAACACGTGACAATATTGAGAACAATAAAAATCATTAGTTTGTGCAAGTAGTAAAGAAATAATTTTATATATAGAGTATGATTGGGGCACGTGGTAGCGTAGTTGGTTGAGGCACTATGCTACAAGTCGGAAGGTCGTGGGTTCAAGTCCCGATGAGGTCATTGGATTTTTTTTTCAATTGACCTAATCCTTCCGGCCACACTATGGGCCTGGCATTGACTCAGCCTCTAACAGAAATGAGTACCAGAAATTAATTAAATAATTTTCTTCGGGAGTAAAGTGCAGCCGGTGCATAAGGCTGACAATCTTACCACCATCTTTGAGCCGACTGTCTAGATAATGTGGGACCCTAAACGTCTCACAACTCTATGGGCCTTCACAGCCTGTTACAGGGATAGCTTTATTTTTTTACTTTACTTTATAAAGTATGATCAATGTGCCTGCCAACAGTGTAACAGTTTATGTGCAACAACATACGGACCTGACGATGGTCCTTGTGAGATGGAAACATGTTGCGTAGTAATGGAAGGACATGAAATAGGAGTGGTTAAACCAGGAACTGCACAGAAATCTGCACTCAAGGCTGTGTTTGCATATACTCGTACTGTATATCAAATGACAAAGTAGTGTAGCAGGATACTAAAATACAATACTGTTGCAGCAGCTTCATCAAGGACACAATGTATAAGAAACAAGATACAATTTTAATAGGGACACTTCACACAACAAGTTAGTCTTGATACTCACTGACATGATAGTACAAAGAATGCCCACATAGTTGGACTCTGTCTGAACCAGTTCCATGAACACTTGCTGCCTGGGACTTTGGATTTTCCTTGGTGTGTCATTTGCCACTGATTCTGATTCTGCATTAAACAAAAATTATTCTCTTCAATCAAAAACCCTGAGAAACATGCCATGTCAGTACATACTACCCCCAATATGACACAGCATCAATAATTTAATAAGTACACCAAATATTTATTCCTTACTCTTTATTTATTTAACTTGGCCACAGAAGATTTCAGTCTCAGCTAGACATAATGAAACATATTTTCTTTCACTTGTAGTTAAACACTGAAGCAGCTTTCGAGAAGAAACTGATGACCACATACATGACAAGGATCTCTGTCATGCTTGGGCATCTCAAGAAACAAGGATGATCTTATACCTAGAAAACCATGAACTGGAGGCCATCTTCTTCATCAATGGTATACAAAAGGTAAAGTTTTTCAGACAGACAATGCAACTGTTTCATACTGTTCTCCAAGTAATTTTAACATCCAAGAAGCACTGAGAATTAACTCTAACAGATGTAATCAATGTAAAAGTGCACAGTGCCAGCAGCAGTCAGAAACATATCAAGGCTGAAGCTTTAACACATGTACACAATATATTTACATAATAATATGGATGCACTGAAACAAAACACTTCATACAGTCACATACAGAAAAGGATGTGTTGCAACTACAACATGAGCTTCAAATTAATGGTTGTGAAGTGAATGGAACAAGCCAAAAATTGGGCTATGGCATAAGAGGTCAATATTACCCAAGCAAATTACCAGTGACACGGCAAATCAAAAGAATTACAGTGTGCCAACTACACAAACAAATTCAGAAAACATTTTCAAGGTCCAAACAAGTATAATACAAAACATGGGATAACAAGTACTTCAATGTGTGCCTGAAAATGTAAAGCTGGGATATCTATTTGAAGGGAGATGATTTATATCACAGCCTTAATTTAATGGTCCTGAAAGATGTAAATAACTGATGTTATTATAGGAATTCCTGCTGTACTGATTGCACACATTTTTGTAAGGTAAGAAGAATTAACAGATGACCCATGCAAAGACGGAAACGTGAAAATGAAGAAGATATTGTGACATGTCGACCCCTACCTCCCCAGCGGTACGTGGCGGTAACGTAACGCTCGCGTTACTACGGTAATAGGTGAGTTCCCGCCCCGCCACTCCCCTCCGCGGTGACGTCACCGAGGGATATCGCGGTCGCTAGGCAACGCGAGTCAACAGCGGCGACGTTACGATAGTAACAGCGGTTACCTCCGCTAGCGTTACATAGCAACACAGCGCCAGGCAAAAAGGGTGCCTATTACGTGGCCGTTTTCCCGTACTGTCCGATCGAGGCTACATACGGAGCAGCGAAGGCTATTCACAGTCAGTTCTAGTGTGGCTACCGCAGAGTTGTACTGAG